GGCGTTACTCTGTCCCGAGAACTTGTGAACTCCTACCCACCTCCAGAAGGTATAGCTTGGAATCATCTATTGTGAAATACACATGATCAATCACTCAAAGAAGAAAAGACAGTTATCTTTTCGTAACGGGTGTTCTTCGAGATGTGTTGCTCATGTCTATTCCACATCCCGCCCTCCTTCCCCTCTGGCGGAGTTGTCTGGCAAGAAGGAACTGAGGGTGGAGGGACCACTCCAGCGGTCGCAGGGGGCGCTCCCCCCCTACGGGTACTGCTGGGGAAAAACTTCTGGCACTGGTGCACGTGGCGAGCACACACACCTATTGTGGAATAGACATGAGCAACACATCTCGAAGAACACCAGTTATGAAAAGGTAACTGTCTTTTCCGTACAAACTGGTACCAGCTCTTTTCCTCCAAGAAAATAATGAGAGGGATCTCATCTAAATGGAAATGAACAACATTGCGGGAAAGGAGAAAAATAAAACCACAAATACTTTTCATGTTTCTTTTTCTGGGTTCAGTTTGTAATGTTGTCACTTTGTTTTTATTGCCTAACCTTAGATAAGAAATGCATGTCTACTGGTTGACTTGGGCTAAAAGACAGCTTTGTTGTGCATTGTTGATTTCTATTTCTAGGTTTCTGATACAGGGAAGGGAAAGAGAGAAAGAAGACACCAAGCTTTAAAACTGTCAGTTCTCCAGTTTAAGGAATTAGTTAAAATCACTTCAGAGTTTGTTTTTATGATTATGAAACTGCCTGCCTTAGTCAATAAGGACCTTTAACTGACTCTGAACAGGATGGGGTGCTGTTAATTGCCTGTGTCCATTCTAAATGTCTGGTCACTGTATGATAGCACTATCCCTAGGATAGCAAGATCCTAGGAGTAGTTGCACTGCAGACAATTATCTTTTTTAACTTCAGTTTTTCCTATGAATGTTTTATTATTTTGCCATCTTCCTGATTTATTTTTAAGTAACAATCAGTCCAATAAAGTTATGCTCCTAAACAGTATCATGCTCTGGAGTGAAAGCATAGGATAAATCAGAAAGCTGTAAACTCTTGGGCTCAATTAGCATTACACAATTTGTTGAGAAACTCCCAAATCAAAATGTAATAGTTTCTCTTGAAATGTCATTGACTAACTAGCTTTTTCTTTCTTATTACATTTTGTCACATTAATGCTAGACATTTGTACATGAATACAGTGATAGGCTGCTTATTATCATATTGTTGTTCTTTTATTATTTCGCTTTTTAATTTATCCACATTTGCTTGTCCGATAGTGTTTTGGAATCAACTTCACTGTCAGTATTGTGACTCTCAACAAACCAAACCAAAGCACCAGGAGCCTCTCATACTGGTGCAAACCAGCTATAAGTCCATTGACGTCCGTTGATGTCCATTGACATGGTGTATGTGAGAGGAGAATCAGGCCCACTTTGTGTACATAATGTTAATTTGTGTCAGAGATCAAAATGTTAAAAGATGACACACTGTCTTTAACTTAGGTTGCTGAGTTTTGGCAGTGTACCAGCATACATTGTAATGAGAACACACTGATCTAAGACCCCCCCTACTATCTCAATGTACGGGTTCAGGGACAATAATGGTAGTTTTTAGATTTTGTTTTTTGTTTTTGTTGGTTTCCGATTTTGGTATCTAAATACAACAGTGTTAGTGTGTTAAATTCCTTGGGTCTGATCCTGCCATCCTTACATAGACAAAATTCTCATTGACTTGTGTGCAGGAGGATTTTTAAAGTTTAGTGTTTAAAAAAAAGACTAATAAAAACTAAATGATAAAAGAAAAATATTCTCCTAGAAGACTATGATGGCAGCAGTGTTAGCTCTTCTGCATTACTTCCTATCATGTATATATGCACTAAAGGGGTTTTAAAATAGAGCATTTTTTAAATAATAGCTGTTTAAGAACTTTTGAAAAACAGAACTTTAAAATTATAGATTGTCATGTAAAATTCCTGAAATTAGGATTTTCAGGAAGAATGAAGGTGGGGTTTCACATAATGGCTCTTTAGCTGATTATGTGCATATACTTTTTAAAAGGTAGATCATCAAGAAACTGCAACTACTCCTTTGTGTAGATCCCTGAAATCAGACTAACATTTTGTAAATCCCAGCAAAGATGCTTTTCAATTTGAAACATGATAATTGAATTTTTCTGTCATGAATACCTGTGTGACAATTATTCTGACAGATTGGTAACTGTTAGATGTCTTTCACTGTCCATGGTACTTTCCATAATCTTTAGTTGCACAATTAACTTTTTGATTAATATATTCTGGTTCAAAATGAACTGTATCCATTTGTGCCTGGAAAATTATAGGTAACCACTCTCAAAACTACAAATCACATGCTAACTATATAAGATTTTAATATAATATATATAGCAACAACTAATTAGTAATTAAAGATCTAGACACCATTGTGATCACATTAATTGCATAACCAATTCAACCTTTAAATATAAACTGATTAGTGTGTTTTATTTTATCCTTTTTCCATTTCCCTTCTATCCATATCCCTTTTCATTTAGAGTTAGGAAGCACTCTTAAATCCTTGTTCCTCCAAATAGATATGCACATGTGCACATGCTCATGTGCAGCCCCACTGAATTCTACATAGGCAAAAGTGTCTGACAGTGCATGTAGCAGTTTGAAGGTTGGGAACTTAATCAGTAAATGAGAGCAAGCGAGTTTGCCTTGAGCACGTATAAACTCCCTTACCACTTAACTACCTCTTTCTGTTTCTCAATAGCATCATGGACCATGATACCCTCCTCACGCTATTTAAAAACAATTGAACATTGAAAAAAACAGTTATTTAAATTAGCATATACAGAATTGCAGCTTGCCACAATCAATTATCTGAGCCCAAGCCAGGGGATCCAAAGAGGGCTACACCAAGAAGTTGGATATGTTAGTGCCCTGAAATCTTAATTTGCACTCAAAATGGAACAGCAAGAAGTGACAAAGATCTAAGGCCTCATATTGTTATCAGCAGGCAAGGGGTACACTCCCAGGTCAGATCTCCCATAGATGTAGAAGGTGCAGTAATGCAGCAGGTCTGGAGATTGAAGAGCTAACTGGAACTTCAGATGAACTATATAAAATTAGTTTCCTGATAGTCACAGGTGAAGAGGACTCTGAAGGGATAGAGCTCCATACTAGTGGTCAGAGGGCTGAAATGTAGCTGGAGTTGGATTCTTTCTCTTTACATAGAAACCTTCTTGTTTCTTTTGTTATAAACTGTCCATTCAGAAGCATGGTAAAGATTTTTTAAAATGGATGCCTATAATTGGACTCCTAAGTCCATATTTTGGCACCTAGATAAGAAGCCTGGTCTTTCAAAAAACTAAACATACAGCAGCTCCCATTTAAAAACAAGGCAACTTATTTAGGTGCTAAAATATGGACCTAGGAAACCAACTTTGGGCACCCATTTTAAAAAATCTTTTCCCTAAACCTTCAGAGAAAAAAGAAGTTGCTGGTAGTAATAATTTTGCTGCTGCCGTTGTGGGACGATCTAGTCCATTCTACCAGTTTAATAGAATTTTTCAATCCAGTCTTAAATCTGGGACAGGCCTTATTTCTCTTAGAAAAGCCTTCTCCTCAACTTCTTGCACAAAATTACTCAGCCACACTGGGAGTGAGATTTCTCCATGTTGCCTAATCCAGTCCAATGGATTTTCCCTGGATACTTAAAACAAACCTCCCAAGACATATGTGTGGGAGCATGGAACTTCTTAATCAATGTCCCTAACTAATAAAATCTGATCTAAGTGAAGTAAATCAGTTTCTTTAATGACTTCCCTTTAGTTAAAACACACTGTGTTCCTGAAGAAATATTTTCAGGGGAAGGGATTACAGAATTATTTTGGAACCTATCATTAATTGTTGATTGATCATATTTTCCCCTTATTTTAAAGCCTGTAATGTTAACTTGACTTTTTCACAGCCTTTTTCACAGCCTCACAAGGTTTAAACTTTAAAGCATAGTTGACTAAATACCTAGTTCAATAACATTTTAGAGATATAGGGTGAAATCTTGGCCCCATTGAAGACAGTTGCAGAACTCCTATTGATTATAACAGACTCAGGATTTCACCTGTAATATATAGCTTGACTTTGACATGAATCCAATGGACAAGTCTGTTGTCATTCATTTTTTTAACATTTTATAAAAATACATCCATCATTTCACAAGATCAAATCTTCCATAGACTTTTAAGTGTTATCTCTGTAGGCTGATCCCTGTATTTTTATCCTTTACAGTTCCACCAACAGAAAAATGCTGTCTGGGTTGAAAATAACCAGGGGAAAGCGCAGGGTTGAAAATAATCAGGGAAAAGTTGGAGGTAGTAGCTTGATGCTGTGGTTTCATTTACGTTGCCACTTCTCTTTATTATGGGACAGCTGTTTGCCTCACCACAATTAAGGTGGAGCTGAGCTCCCAAGTTAAGAAGTGATGTTTCAATTCAAGGTTCACATTACTAAGATTTTGTGCAACTTACTTAGTAGTATCCAGATTTGTGGACACTGAAACAAAGCAAATGTACCTTTTTTCTTTGTGTTAGTATTTAGTGAATGTCAAAGCAAACTGTCTCTTTAATTGCAGAACTAAAATCCTACAACTAAAGAATTAACACCAATGTATGAGCTAGTGATTTATGGGGCATTTTAGTCAATGAATCAAATTGTCCTCACCTTATTAAGGCTGTAGTGTGGTTTGTAGCCCGAGTAAGATGAGCAGGATTTGGCTCAATAACAGTTAAATGTTGTTTTTGTAACCCAGATGAAAAGTAGTGCATGTCATGTATTTTAATGTGCCTCAACATACTGCTTATTGAATATAGTATGTACTTCCTTTTCATAAGGAAACTCATTGTAGGATAAGATTCCCTAATTATCCTGATATATTTGGTTCTCAATTTCAAATGACATTTTCTTTTGCATAAAAACACAAACTTTTGTCTTATTTTAGCTTCAACCGGCATTCTTCCACCTCCATCAGCTACCAGTCAAAAAAGAGGTATAAAATATTATCTTTTGCAGCTACTACACATTAAAAGTATTTAACACACCAATTTAATGCTACTAGTAGACTTCTAGTGAACTATTAACCTAAAAGTGATCTTATTAAAAATGTCTCCTCTCTTCTTTTCCTGATGACTAATAGTTTTCAAACGTAGTATTTAATTCATTGCCTCTCACATGTTATTGTCTGTTACAGATCCATTCGGTTAAGATTGGGCACTTTCAGTGCCTTTCAGAGATGTTATCATTTTACTGTTCCTTTAAACCATCTTCAGTCCTCAGGATATCTTTTGTCACCTGCTTAACCACTATTTACTTTCTGCGGCAGAAATTACAGCTGGTAAATCTTTCCAAAGCTGATTTAGCTTGACTAAAACCCTTAATGATGTAGCTCAATGCTTTATTTCTCTTACAGGAGTCTTTTCCTCTCCATTGTTAAATCTAATCTGCATCCCAACTTTGGTTGTCTTTTTAAACAGTTCCATAGTTAGTTATTGAACTCAGTGGTGCTGCTGTTCTTTGTTTGTTTGGAGACAATTTTTTTATTTACTACAATTTATTTTCTCTCTAGCAGATACCAGTTTCCTAGAAGTACAAGGAAATCTAGGGCAGTGTTTCAAAGTGCTATAGACATTGAGAAATACATAAGTAACAAACAAGCAGTCCTGATGCATTTTGCAAATTTAGAGTCCTAAAAAGGGTCTTTACCAATAAACCCAGGTGTTTGAGACTAGAACATACTCAGCAATGGCAGGTACACTAGAATTTCAGATATGGTTTTATAATAAATGTAATTTATAATTTCCTACACTACATAGCAAGTGTTGATCAGATTCTTTAAAAGTAAGTATGTTGCACTGATTTCTTGTGTAACTGTTTTCCCTTTGAATAATAAGGCTTAAAGTAATAAAAGATCTTCAGATAGTGTATATTTTAGCCAATCACCTTTTGAAATCATCACATAAGGCCAAATCTGTCACTGAATTGTTTCCAGTAACCTCAGGATGCCACTAAAACAGAGTCCCATAAGCTCTTACATTTCAAAACATTGGTGTCAGTATTGGATTAAATGGACACTGTTTATAAGGTATTTAGGTTGGGTTTTTTTAGTCATTCTGTCTGGAATACAAAAAAGAGCAATAATTCTGTGTGTGTTCTCACTGTTCTCCAACTGAAGTCCTGTGCAGCTGGCAGCTATTGGCATAAGACACTAAAGAGGGGACAGCAACAGGAAATAACTGTAAATATGAACAGTTTCATGTGTTGTTGAGAGCATCTTTCATCGTTACAAAATTGTGGCACAATACAGCAGAGTCCACAGTAAACACAAACTCATGAGACTAGTTTGTCAAAATCAACGCCTCATATTCTCCATGGCACAATGGAACCAAATTCAGGCTACGTTTACACTTAAGTTACGTTGGCACAGCTAGGACACTTAGGAATGTGTAAACACAGTAATATCAGGGGGAAAAAGTCTTATTTCTTATTTTATTCAGAGAACTGATATAAGCTAGATGGGCAAAAGCTGTCTTTTTCCCCAGTATAAGTTTGGTCTCCAATAGAAGGGTTTGCGAAGTTAGTCTTTAAGGTGCCACCGGACTCCTTGTTGTTTTTGTTGATACAGACTAACACGGCTACCCCCTGATACTATACCCTTTTATGTTTACTGTCAAAACCTTTCTAGTGTAGACAAGGCCTCAATGGTCAGAACCCCTATCCTGCAGCAGATATGGATAAGAGTCTGAACTAGGCCTTGGGGGATCCTCCTTGTGTGAGGCTCAATGAAATAGTAGGATTGAAGGAAAAAATAGGAGTTTGTAAAGCAAGCATGGCGTTGAGGAAAGCAAGGGAACTGTTTAGCCCCAGCAAGGGTTTAATTACTCTTCCTGTATGGATTGCTGTGCTTGTTGCAGAGCGTAAACCTCAACATCTGCTGACTTCTGCTTCTTCTCCTCTTGCGCTTCTTCTTTTCCTTTGTTTGTTTTCCTTTTTACTCCTTCCCAAGGCAAGTTTTCTGTCTCATTTGATCCCTGAGTCTCTGGTAGTGGTAGAATTGGGGCTTGAATAAACTGGAGAGTCTGCAGCCTATTCCCTCTTCCGCAGTATATAGAGGAACAAGGCTCTTTACCTGCTTGGAGGCTACTTGCTCAGCAGAGGGGAAGGAGACCTAGAGCTAAGTGATTGGAGTACCATGTACATGGCCAAGTAATCTGATAGAGCATCTGGAAAAATCATGTGAGGAGTGGGATGGGCAGCAGCCCTTGATTGTAAATACTGTTCAGCAAGCATGGTCTGGGGTAGAGCAGGGAAATCATCTCCAGATGACCAGATTGCTTGAGTAGATATAGCTGAACATTTGCAAGTGGACAGCTGTAGATCCTTCTGGTACTACTGTAGCTCTTGGGACTCCTTCTGAGGTATCAGGAACATCCCTGAACTCTTGCACCTGAACCAGAGAAGTCACCCTATGTTAGAGTGAGCTCTAGGGGCTGCAGAATCAAAGAACCATGGAAGTTGTCTGAGAGCCCTTATTCTGTCAAACAATTGAAGACAAGCCACTGAAGCTAGCCACAAGCTCTACCCCTCCCCTGGAGACACTCCTCTGCAAGTGCAGTGGGAGCAGGGAATTAGGATACATGTATCTGGTTTCATCTTTTCCTCTCACTGATTCCCATGGCTCAGACATCTCTCCCCCAGCATCCTGTTTTCCTTTAAAAGCACCTAATAAATCCCCAAAACCTACACTTGTGCAACATTCAAGACCACAAAAAAGTATAGGTGTGTATGTACTTACGTGTATGCACACTAATCCCCATGTTAACAACTGATTTAAATATAAACATTAGAGGTTGGGTGTGTGTACACAAATAAGGTATTGTGTGAATGTATCTGAATTTGTGCACCCACACAGCTGCATCCACACTTTTGATAATCTGGTCTTATAGCACAAGTAGAGTAGGGCAAAATATTTGCCATGTAAAATGTTCTTCAGTGAAATGTATCTACTTTTGAGGTAATCAAATATTTTATATGTTTCTTAAAAACAGCATGGTCAAGGAGATGGATTGAGCATAGGCCTGGGAACCAGAAATTCTTATTCCTACTTATTTTACTGGCTGTCCTAATAAAAATTGATCTTATATCCCAGTATACTGATAGGACGTTGCAATATTTAGTTAATGAATGCCTCACAAGACCTCTCTGAGGTAAGTGGATGTTGCTTCAAGTCCAGTGCTCAGTTCTCCAGACTAAATTGCATTCAACTCATTTAATTAAAGTAAAAAGTTTGCAAGTATGAAGACCAGTAAATCCAAGCTACAAATAATTCTGTTGTTTACTGTTATCAAACTGAGGCCTTGTCTACACTACTGGGGTAAGTTGACCTAAGTTACGCTACTCCAGTTACGTAGCTGGAGTCAACGTAGCTTAGGTTGACTTACTGCAGTGTCTACACCATGCTGTGTCGATGGGAGACGCTCTCCTGTCAACTTACCTTACTCCTCTCGTTACAGTGGAGTACTGGAGTTGACTGGGGAGCACTCTGTGGACGATTTAGCAGGTCTTCAGTAGACCCGCTAAATCGACCCCCACTGCATCGATCGCAGCAGTGTTGATCCCCAGTAAGTGTAGACATGCCTTCAGGTTTATTACCTGAACCATAAGAAAGTGCTGGAGACACAGGTGCTAGAACAATTTTTATAGAGGTGCTGTAAAAACCCTGTATGTGATGGAAACGACTTCAAGCCAGGGGGTGTGGCAGCACCCCTAGTTCCAGCACCTATGTGTGGAGATAAACTCCTCAGGGGTGATTTTCCTCATTGAAATCCCTCGCTGCTGCTATTTGGAATCTTTCAAAGAGTTTTCTACTTACATGATCTCTCCCCTATGCTCCTGGATTGAGAATCAGAGGCTTTTGGGACCCTCCAAACTTAAACATTAGAAAAATAAATGAATAGATTAAAACCTCAGCCTAGACCTAGAAAGGGGCTAGTTTCAGAGATGAGATATATATTTCTTTCTGCTTTCTAAAGGCCAAGTGCTTGGTCCCACTGAAAAGAGGTGGGTTACCAGTTCTCATAGCACTAGTATAAATCACTGAATTTTGTTTGATTTTGCTCCCATTTAAATCAGTAGCAAAACTCCCACTGATTTCAATGAGACCAGGATAAGCCTCTTTGTAGGCACTAGGCAAATGGACCAAGAATCTCATTTTCAGATGCCTAGCCCTGACGTCTGAAATGATCAACCCCTGCTAAATGGGATCTTCCTGCAGTTGGTCACACCCAAAACTAGAGATTGATTAGGTCTCCTATTTTGCTAGTTTTCCCAACCAAAGGGATTGATTCTGTAAAGGTGCCAGTGTTAAAGATACTGACAGCAGGCTCTTTTTTCGCTCATTAAATTTGTTTTTAAAGCAGTCATTAAAATGCCAGTGATGGGGGCTGCACTGGCTGCCTTCATCACCTATGATGGCTACAAAGACTAATGAATCTCACATTCTTCTCTCTGTGCCGTTAAGGAAGCATCCATTGGGGTGGTATGGAAGCTGACAAATCTCTTGATTTCTTAATCTGTGGCTCTTGATGTCTGGAAAATTGCTCACAGCTTTGCTTTGCTTTTAGAGGTACGGGCCAGTCCTATACATCAACACCGGTTTCCCAGGGTACCGCTTCTTCCTCAGGCTACAGTGAAAGTCCAGTTCCTGCTCCAAAACCAAGAGTTGTCACTACTGCTAGCATAAGGCCCTCTGTCTACCAGCCAGGTAAGGATTTCAAAAAGGTGAAAGGGTCTATACTAATGTCCAGTAGCATTTTATGCAGAAAATGCAAGGCCTTTTTACACACAAAGGACCAAATTCTGTTGGCCATGTTAGAAATGAGTGAGCTTGTTCTACCTAATTTCAAATCCACCCTAATATTGTGACTTCTGAATTATGTTGGGTTTGTATTCTGCTTAGAAGACACTGTCAGAAGGAAGGGACTTAGGGGAGGAGAAAGAAGGGGGTTAACAAGAAACCAAAGTGATCTAAATTTCCCAATGCGAGGCATCTGAAATGCATCTGCAAAACACAATCTGTGCACCCAATAAGCAACAAGGGAACTTATGTGCACTTGAATATTGATAACAGGGTTTAAGAATGCTAGACCCTCTGTGCATCTATATGTGTTAGTGAAATAAATGAGAGATGGCTTAAGGTATGACAGTCTATTAAATTGTGTGAGTATATTTGCAAAATAGGTAAGGCCATGAAATCGAGCTTCTCAAACTTACTTCCATGTGTAAGGGATGATGTATTCTTGAAAAGCACTTGGTTTGCAATGCTTTGCTCCCCATTCCCTGCAAATCCAATTAGTGAGGGGTATATATTAGATTATAAACTTACTTAGAAAATGTGTTAACTGTTGTTTAAATTTCCTTTGTATTAATGTGTTACAAGTGGAGCAAATCGACCGCAAACCTCCAAAACCAACCATGACCAAATATGTGTAACCCAGATTGCACAAATTAAACAATAAGGACATAAAAATCTAAACATACTTACCAATAAAAAATTCTATCCCTAGTCATCCTAGTAACACATGCTTAATTCAGTTAACAAATAAACATATTGTAGTTTTAGCAAGTGTGCTTCAAGGATGGTTTACATCTTGCAGTCTAAGTAAATAAGAAAAGTCTGCCAAATCTGCCTATAAATCCCAAGAGTCCAGTATCCTCATCCATTCTAAAGTTCTGAGAGAGGAGAGAAGGTATCTTAAATTCAGAGGCTAAGAGAGGCAAAAAGCTCTCATGGGAACAGGGCCAGCTCCAGGCACCAGCTAAAGAAGCAGGTGCTGGGGGCGGCCAATACCAAGGGGCGGCACTCTGGCCGCTATTGGGGCAGCACGTCTGGGTCTTCGGCGGCAATTCGGCAGCGGGTCCCTCAGTCCCTCTCAGAGCGAAGGACCTGCGCCGAATTGCCGCCGAAGAGTGGAGCAGTGCTATCGCGCTGCCGCAGGGCTTTTTTTTTTTGGCGCCACTTGGGGCGGTAGAAAACCTGGAGCCAGCCCTGCATGGGAAGGTATAGATGTGATATAACCCAGCTAATAGCTGACATATTTTAGGCTGTTTAAAGGAACTTTCATCATTGGTCTCAACATCATTAACAATAAAGCTTTAAACTTCTACTAATTTTGTTTTTAGTTACATATGCCAGTCCATATTCCCTCACTACTGGATAGGAATAATTCCCATTGAAGCCAATGGGGGTTACTGCTGTCCCACAAAGGAGAACAAGGACCCCCCATAATTTTTTTCAAGGAAAAGTGAATCTATTCCTATAATAGAGATGAGAGCACAGAGAAGAGGATACCTAAAACATCTCTGGGAAATCTGATGATAGACTGGGTGCTCAGTTAGGGTCCTGGGTGACCTAATCCTGCAAACCCTGAGTACTCAGGACTTCCATTAATGTAAATGAGTTTCATAAGCCATTGCTGGCAGGTTTGGGCCCTAAATTAGGTGTTCAGTTGGGCAGAGGGATGCCTTTATTTTCCATTGCCCTGGGCACTTCTTTTGCAATTCTGTCTTTGTGCATCATTGCCCCTAATTGCAGACTTAAAATGCACACTTTGAAAATCAGGCCCTGCATGTGTCTCTGGACACAATGTACTTATTTTAGATCTTCATATTGTCTATGTATATTATTCCATGGATACTACAGGAGCATAGTGTCCCCCAGAGGGCAGGAGGAATTCAGAACCGACATTCAGAACATTCATGATATATTAGAGAGAAAAAAAAGAGGAAAATGCAAAGTGTGATAACCCTGGCAGAAAGCACCCTCCACTGGTAGGAGCTTGAGAATAATCACAAGGAGATATTTTAACATCTTATGAATCAACCCCCAAAAAGGTTTCAGATGCAAGAGAGTTTATATTTAACATGTGTTAGAAAATAATAGAGTTTAGACCAAAGGCAATTTATTGTAGTCACTCTACAACATATTGCTGCTACTTAATGTGGTAGCAACTAGAGACTACATTTCTGGATATAAATTGACACTACAGGCAGGAGACCGTCGATCCAGCGAGTAATGTAGACAAGCCCTAATTTACAGAGCCACACTCCCATTATAGCGACTTGGTTCTCTGACTTCATTTTCTACAGTCCACCGCATGCAAGGGTGAGACAGTGGAGACTATTAGCAGGATTTGCAGCACACGGAGGGTTTGGGAGATGCCAGTCCCTTGAAGAAGATTAGGTGTTTGGAGGGAGTTATTTGTTCATCATGCCCATCTGCCACTTGCAGCCTTTTAGCTGGCCCCACAGTATTCCAAATCTCACCCTTGTCATAAGTTTCTTCTGCAGAAAAAAAAAAAAAGCAACAAAACATTGTGCAGCAATATTTCCCATCCTCAGCTGCAGTGGTTGAGACTCTAGAATAAAGAAAACTAGAGATAATTGGCATTGTGAGGGCAGTCAGTAGGATGCCAGGGCATTATGTAATTAGGCAACCCAGGATTGTGACGTTCAGATTGAGACATCTGTCCTCTTTGCTTCTAGTAATTTATATTACTGAAGAGCCAAAAGCCAATACAGATCTTTTTTCCTATGTGGAATGAATTTCTGATCTTAGCCCAGTTCTTAGAATCAAGAAATATATGTTGCCAAAACCATCAGCACAATTGGTTCTAATTAGCAGCTATAAATTGAATAGATATCAAACTATTCTTTGTCCTGTAGAAGTGGTTTCACTAGCTCAAAAAAGGATTACATTGGTGACAATATGAGAAAGCTTGCACTATCAGCTGCCAGTACTAAGGCTGTACCAAGGATAAATAAGAGTTCATTTCCCTGAGTTGTCAATCTGACACCTTTCCAAAGTGTGAAATTCACTTTTAAAATATCTAACTATTGTGTCTGTACATACCATAAGGCATTTTCTAGTTTTTGTAATTTATTTATTCAGATTCCTAGTACTCTAAACAAAATTGTGCCCATCCCAACCTCTGGGCGCCTTTGGGAGTCTATTTAATTATGTATATGTTAAGGCTCTGATTCATCAAGGTTCCATAAAAACCTGTTTAACTTCAAGCATGTGACTAATGCCTTTGAAGTCAATGGGACTACTCATGTACTTAAAGTTAGGCATGTGCTTATACACTTTGCTGAATTGGGATCTAAGAGACTATTATCAGCAATTACCCTCAGATCAAAATACCCATCAGTGTTACAGTATATGTAATCTCCCCCTAGAAAACCAAACCCAAGAAGGTTTATACAAGCCTGCCATCAGCATGGTTGTGCAAGATGACCAAGTCTGTTTTTCAAAATGAAAGTATGGGACTAGATCTGGCATAAATTGATATTGATTTCAGTGGAATTACACCAGTTTACATCAGCTGAGGATCTAGCTTATGTGGGCCATTACTAATAAGAGGCTGTATTTCAAACCAGACGGGTGGCCACTAATCCATGCTAATCTCTTAAAGCACTGTTATGATGCTAGCTGATTGCCTTGTTTGATGGCTCTGGGAAAAGCACATCTGGTGTTGAACAGAAATCATTTTTTCAAATATCATAACCCCTTTTTACAAGAAGTGAGGATTGTTGTTCTCTATGAACGACACTAGATGGCAGGAAATACTTAGCTCTCTTTCATCTGTGATTTTTTAGACTAGGACAGTGCCTGGATTTTTTTAGATTAGTACAGAGCAATCTATAGGCCAATCTTTTATTCCACAAAGCAGTGAGATAATTGAGAACAGTAAAAGATAAAGGAGATCTTTCCTTTTAACTCCTTTGATCAAATAGAATTACTCACATGTGTAAAATTACTCATGTGTAAGTGGTTACAGGATCGAGGCCTAAAGCTGTAAACTCTCCAGGGCAGGAACTGTATCTTCCTGTGTATAAGTGTGAGGACAGTGTCAAGTGTGAGGACTGCTTCTTTGGAGCAGCGATTCTCATTTACCAGATGTTTGTACAGTACCTAGAACAATGGGGTCCTGATGTGTATGAGGCCTCTAGGTGCTATCACAATGTAAATGATTACTACTAATAATAAATTGTGTTTGCTACCAGAAAACTATTATGACAACTAACAATAATGATGCATTGGATCAAAAAACCTCAGGTGGTAATTGCATTTGTTAGTTTCTTTCCAGTGGTATTTTAAATTCAGAACATGCAGAACAAGTGCATAGGTCAGTGCACAGACCAATATAGGGTCTAAGAGAGTAAAGTATCTGAGCCTAAATAAGCGAACCTATGCCCTGATACTTTGGAAGCTAGTCTTTTTTTTTCCCTGAGAAAATTGTTTGTTGAGCCTAACTACAACCCTGAATGTGAGTAGGAAGGTGAGAATTAGCTAAGTCCTGTGGAGGCAAGGACTCAACTTCTTGTAATAGCAGTTATATGAGTAGTTTCCCTATTTCCATATATCAGAGAAAATAATAAAGCTTATCCTTTCTTTTGCGCTATTGGACAGGCACAGGTTGTTTAAAAGTTGAGTGACTGAATCATTATAAGAGTTGTTTTTTTAACAGGATATGGGTTAGTTGGGTCAGTCTGTTGGCACATCTTGTGAATTTTACATTTTATATGTTCAATCTAGTATTTCTTGTAATGGCACTGGGAGTTGGAGATCTGAAGGCTATAAATAAATAAATAATATCAATAAATAAAAATCAAAGGTGAATTTGTATGTGTAGAGCTACAAAGGTCAGACTAACATTCCAGATGAGCCGGGAAGATGTTTGAAAACTATAAGGTCAATATACTATTCCTTCCTCATCAGAATGGCTGGAATCCCAAGGTTGGTGAAATCATTCCTAGCAGATAGTGATGACACTCTGCTAAAAGTAAAAACAATTATAATAATGCCAACTTGTTTTTATAGGGGAAAATATTTTGCACGGAATCCTGGCTTTCAAGATGAAATGATGAATGACTGAAAAATTATAATTATCTTGCGAGAACTCAAAGCAAGTTATGGACATTCATGACTGTCATTTTGCACCAGTTCTCCAGCCAGTGTATTTCAGTGATTGTGACATGATTCACCATGTTGCTTTATTTTTAATGGCAAGTGGATGGGATGGAAAATCCAGAGTGAGAGACCCTTCCTCATTTCAGTTCATTTTACAGAAGAGACCCTGGGAAGAGGTGAACCCAGGTCCTAGAAGTTAAAAGGAGAGCTTTATAACTATTACTGATCACCACCTCTCTACTCCTACACTTAGCCCACTCAGGGTATTTTTAATTGACTATAGGTCTTGTTTGAGGAAGCAGTTATGTCACAGTTATACACACATGCTGTCTGTTAAGGTAAAGAAAGCTGCTAAAATGCAGGGATCCTACTACAACTTAAGAGTGATGAAAAAGTGCATGCAGCATCCTTGTCTGCAAAGAGGCAACTGGCTAAATACTCCCAGGTTAAAACACAATGAGTTAGTATCTCTGAGCCTAGAAGTATACTAATCTTGATAATTTAAGCTAGTGTCAACCTAAGAGTGGTACTTGTACTGCTCACTGGGGTTCGCATTTGTTCTCTGACTGAAAAAAGTTTACTAAAGCTATTGGAGCTTAGTGTCTGAATATCATTGAAACTTGAGATGATATTATCAGGTCTTCTGTGGCATACATTGGTCTGTCATGCTTTATATGAACAAACTGACTTTTGGGGAAAAAATCATCCATAAAACTGAGTGAGCTAGAAATCACTGTATTTAATTATAGAGCCCCATAGGTGGGAGCCATTTGAACTCATCAATTAGAGATTAAATATTGTCTTCTAATTCTAACTGTCTTAATACCATAATAAGTAAATAGTTACAGCCCCAGGGCTTAAAGAGATTGAATATAAACTCCTTGTTCTGAGATCTTTAAACACGGTTTACAATTCCAAGATGAAAAAAAGAAGCCTAAAGCTAAGGTGGGATGCATGATTATGAAACAGTGAAATGGCTGATGCTGCAGTATAGGAAAGCTTTTTAGAGAAAATGTCTTAGAGTCCTGTTTGAACTAAGTAAAAAGAAAAAACAGATATTGTTAGTGTGATCTTAGTAGAATGATGTACATACAATTCAAGCACCTGTAATTCCCAGTAACCAGTGACTGTCAGTCTCTTACACATGGGAGGGTGTGGGCAGAGGGAGGAGTGTTAAGCACTAAATAATCTTCTCAAAACTTTATTTTCTGTAGCGATCTGTGTTATAGTCCAAACTTCTTCCTGCCTCAATTAAGGTACTGTTTCCCTCCCCCCGCCCTACCCTGGGGTGTTCTGTACACTCTCCTCAGAACCGGTCATAGAATCCAGGATTCCTGAGGAATGGCACCATTCCTTTGCAGTCAGCATAGGCGTGCGCAGCCCATTTCATTAGGGTGTGCACCCAGGGAGCCCCGCCCCCATCCACTCCCTCCTACTTCCTGCCCCCTGACCTTCCCCCT